AATGGCTGCCAATTACGGCTTATCACTTATTAACCATCATTTATTCACATTACTTTAATAAAATATTTAAGTTGTGTATATTACATTTGTTTTATTCAATTACTTTATTATTTCTTTCCAAGTCATCATCTCATCTCTACAGAGCTGCTGCCTATGCTGTCTGACAAAATCACAATTTTAGTAGTTGTTCAAAGTAAATAATTCATACTTTTATGACTGCTGAATACCAACAATCAATCACTTAGATCATGTACTTTCAGGTAGAGATACCTCACGAAGCAACTTCTCTATATCCCTCTCAATCGCACATACTTCTGTCTCTTCTCTCAGTGTCTGCCCCACACTAACCTAAAGCAGCAAGTGTAAAAGAAACACACAGACAGGACAAGTAGGCGCGCAATGGATTATGGTCATTGTAGTTAATTACCACTTTTTCTGCACTAAACTATGTAGAATATTGGCCTGTTGGAAACTACGACTCCCTACTAAATTGCACAGTTCGGGCTTGATCTGATTTATCTCTAGAGAAACTGCGCAAGTACTCATTGAGCTCAAAGGAAAAACAGAACTAACATAATGGAATTCAAATATTTGAACCGATGTCGGTCAATTAGTAGTTTAAAACCCCCAAAATAACTGACATTTCGGGTAATCGCTCAGCACGACACCCTGATAAAGGCTCTTTGTCCAAATAAAATTGGTCAAATAAATCCACATCATGGAGAGATGAGTGTGTAACTTTCTTTTTCATTTGTATAGACACGTTAAGGGACCACTTAGAATTGGTTGACAACTGATAGATGTTTGTTTTAGGATTCTTTCCAGTTTCCAGTGTTGCTTTTAAAAAGGCTTACTCTCTATGTTGTAGATGTCCTCTAGCTTTAATCAACTGTGTGTAATACAAGCCTAAAGCTCTCAAACAGCCAATGGAAAACCCAGATCCTGTATTGATTAGTATAGACCAAACACAATCACAACAAGTGGGAGTTACACAGCCCTACTGTGGTTAGTGGACAGCCAACACCCAATGGAAGTTAGTGGCCAGCGGCAGACAGTTAGCCTAACACTTGTTAAAGACTCTGATATGATTCCGAGAAGGTGCCTGAGGAAGTCCTGCAGCATGGAGGGATGATGGATGAGGTAGAATGGATGGAGGGAAGGAGGGAGGGAGGGAGGGAGGGAGAATGGAGGGAGGGAGGGAGGGAGGGAGGGAGGGAGGGAGGGAGGGAGGGAGGGAGGGAGGGAGGGAGAATGGATGGATGGATGGATGGATGGATGGATGGAGAGAGGGAGGGATGAGGGAGAATGGATGGATGGAGGGAGGGAGGGATGGATGGATGGATGAGGGAGAATGGATGGATGTAGGGAGGGAGGGAGAGAGAGAGAATGGATGGAGGGAGGGAGGGAGGATGGATGAGGGAGAATGGATGGAGGGAGGGAGGGATGGATGGATGGATGGAGAGAGGGAGGGATGAGGGAGAATGGATGGATGGAGGGAGGGAGGGATGGATGGATGAGGGAGAATGGATGGATGTAGGGAGGGAGGGAGGGAGGGAGGGAGAGAGAATGGATGGAGGGAGGGAGGGGAGGATGGATGAGGGAGAATGGATGGAGGGAGGGAGGGATGGATGGATGGATGAGGGAGAATGGATGGATGTAGGGAGGGAGGGAGGGAGGGAGGGAGGGAGGGAGGGAGGGAGGGAGGGAGGGAGGGAGGGAGGGAGGATGGAGGGAGGGATGGATGGGGTTGGATAGGTTGATTGGTCACTGAGGGCCTGATGCCACGCTGGGGCCCCGACACAAGGTTCTCCAGGACCAAGAACTCCAAGGTTTTCAGACACATGATGAGAGATTGATGAAACCCTGATAGTGCTGAGCGATTAGTGCTTTTTGAGGTCGGTTCGGTTTCAATCATTTTTTTAAACATTAAATGGACTGTGCATTATATGGGTTGAATGCTGTAATGACATAGAATAAAACAATTAATAAAAGTCCCATGATGGTAATGGCTGCCAATTACGGCTTATCACTTATTAACCATCATTTATTCACATTACTTTAATAAAATATTTAAGTTGATTTATTCAATGACTTTAATATTTCTTTCCAAGTCATCATCTCATCTCGACAGAGCTGCTGCCGATGCTGTCTGACAAAATCACTATTTTAGTAGAATATTGGCCTGTTGGAAACTACAACTCCCTACTAAATTGCACAGTTCGGGCTTGATCTGATTTATCTCTAGAGAAACTGCGCAAGTACTCATTGAGCTCAAAGGAAAAACAGAACTAACATAATGGAATTCAAATATTTGAACCGATGTCGGTCAATTAGTAGTTTAAAACCCCCAAAAGAAATGACATTTCGGGTAATCGCTCAGCACGACACCCTGATAAAGGCTCTTTGGTCAAATAAAATTGGTCAAATAAATCCACATCATGGAGAGATGAGTGTGTAACTTTCTTTTTCATTTGTATAGACACGTTAAGGGACCACTTAGAATTGCAGCATCATCAAGGACCACACACACCACAGCCACAAGCTGTTCACTCCCTTACCGTCGGGCAGATGGTATCAGAGCATGAGGTCTGATACCAACAGGCTCAGAGACAGTTTCTATCTACAAGCCATCAGACTGCTGAACACTTGAACTGGACTGACCACCTGCACAGACTCTCTGCACCTTGGCACACATGCACTCACTCACGTACACACCCACACAGATATACACTCATATACACACACACACACACACACACACAAACACACAGTGCATTCGGAAAGTATTCAGACCCCTTGTCTTTTTCCAAATTTTGTTACGTTACAGCCTTATTCTAAAATTGATTTTAAAAAACATTACCCCATAATGATAAAGAGAAAACAGGTTTTTAGACATTTTTGCAAAAAAGAAAAGAAAGAAAAACATAAATACCTTATTTACATAAGTATTCAGACCATTTGTTATGAGACTCGAAATTTAGCTCAGGTGCATCCTGTTTCCAATTATCATCTTTGAGATGTTTCTACAACTTGAATGGAGTCCACCTGGGGTAAAATCAATTGATTGGACATGATTTGGAAATGAACACACCTGTCTATATAAGGTCACACAGTTGACAGTGCATGTCAGAGCAAAAACCAAGCCATGAGGTCGAAGGAATTGTTCGTAGAGCTCAGAGACAGGATTGTGTCGAGGCACAGATTTGAGGAAGGGTACCAAAATATTTCTGCAGCATTGAAGGACCCCAAAAACACAGTGGCCTTAAATGGAAGAAGTTTGGAACCACCAATACTCTTCCTATTTCAGTTTTTTATTTTTAATACATTTGCAACAATTTCTAGAAACCTTTTGCTTTGTCATTATGAGGTATTGTGTGAAAAATATATATTTTTCATCCATTTTAGAATAAAGCTGTAAGGTAACAGAATGTGAAAAAAGTCAAGGGGTCTGAATACTTTCCGAATGCACTGTATACATTCATGCTACACACACATCCCAACTGATGCTACCAGACTCGTATTATTATTGCTAAATACTGCACAGTTTAAACACTTGTCCCCCATCCCCTCCTTCACCAATACATATGTAAATATTGTACTATAAATTGTACCTTCCTGTGTTATAGTTATGCTAAAATGTTTATTCTACTGAGCCATTTACTTTATGTTCATATTCTTATCTTTTATTATTTCTTATTGTTGTTGCATTGTTGAGAATAACCTGCAAGTAAGTATTTCATTGGATAATGTATACATACTATACTTTTACATTTTAGTCATTTAGCAGACACTTGTATCCAGAGCGACTTACAGGACCAATTATGGTTAAGTGCTCAAGGGCACATCGACAGATTTTTCACCTAGTCTGCTCTAAGATTCGGTTACTGGCCCAACGCTCTTAACCGCTAGGCTACCTGCCGCCCCTATACCATGTGTATCCTGTACATACGACTAATAAAACTTTAAACTTGAATTTCACGACAACAATGATCTTTCCTCATGCCCTACACTTCCCCTATATTTTGCTCTCCTCACCCCTCCTCTCCTCTTCTCATCTCCTTCTCATTACCTCCCTTCCCCTCTCTCGCCTCACCCCTCCCTTCCCCTCCCCTCTCCTCTTATCTTCTCCTCTCTCTCGCTCTTCTTCTCTGAGGGCTATTGCCCAGGGGGGGAGGAGGGTATAATTTGAATCCTCACAGCATTAATTAAAACATCAGTCTGACTACCAGGGATTAAGTGTGCAGAAGTCTGAGTCTGGCTCTGTGTGTTTTTCATGGTCTTGGTTCCACTGCGGATTTCACTGGCTGCATATCTAAAACCAAATCTCTCTTCTCTCTCTCATATCTCTCTCTCTCTCTCTCTCTCTCTCTCTCTCTCTCCTCTCTCTCTCTCTCTCTCTCTCGCTACTCTCTCTCTCTCTCTCTCTCTCTCTCTCTCTCTCTCTCTCTCATTCGAGTCTGTCTCCTATCTCTCTCTCTCTACCCCTCCCTCGTGCTCTCTCTCTTTATCGCTCTTTCTCTCTCGTTCTCTCCATCTCGATCTCTCTTTTCCCAGGGAATTGATGAAACTTCCAGACAAGACAAGTGAGTTCTCCTGTTTTGGATTACTCTGTGTGTATAGTGTAGTCATTAGCCCAGTAGGTATTATTGAGTTGCTGACTGTGTGTGTCTGTCTGTCTGTAGCCGTTGTTCCCAGGAGGCCCTAAACCCTGAGGATGAGGTGGATGAGTTTCTGGGCCGAGCCATCGACGCCCGCAGCATAGACCAACTCCGTAAAGACCACGTCAAGAAGTTTCTTCTCACCTTCCAGACTAAAGACCTGGAGAAGAAGGTGGGAGGAGATAGGGTGTTGATTTATTGGCTGTGTCTGAAAACATTACTAGGTGTTAAATCCTTGTTTTCTCAGTCCTTGTTTCCTCAATTCCTCACCTCCCTCAAATCTCATTGGAGGAGGAGGCTCCAATCCGAACCTCCTCAAATGAGCTTTGAGAGGGAGGCAAAGAATTGAGTAAACGAGAATGGGGGAAGTAAGGATTTGACAGCTAGATGTTTCTGGGATATTATGCACAGTGTTGTGTGTTGTGTTGAGTTTGCTTTTCTTCTCCTCATTGTGTTTTCAGTTCTCCAAGAAGGTGGATGATCGTTTCGGAGGCTACGTGGCCTGTGCTCTGTTAGTCTTCTGCTTCATCTGTTTAATTCAGATTATCATATTCCCACAGTAAGTACTTCTCTTAAACCGTCACCTTTCTGTAACTGTGTGGAACTAAACGAGGCTGCTAGTGGGTCAGGTTGAACCGACACTGTGTATCCAGCTCCAAGGACCAAATAAGGGACAGCCTTTTTAACCTATCAAATAAAATGTACTGAATAGTGACCTATGAGGATTGATTGCGGTGCAGTGACTTAAGTCGGTTCCTCTCCACAGCACACCTCTCATGCTGGGTTTCTACATCACCATCTTCATCATCCTCGTCAGCATCCTCTTCATCTGTGCCATTTACTCCTGCGTCAAGGTAAGGGACAGACTCCTCCGTCATTTTGAAATCATACAAGCTCCTTTTATAGAGATGTATCCAAAAGTTTACATTTGTTTTGATTATACATTTTCATTTAAAACAAGCACTAAAACGAATAATATCCTCTATCCTCTCTCCTCCTCCCAGCTCTTCCCAGTTGCCTTGCAGACAGTGACTAAGAAGATAGTCCAGTCTCGTACCAACAGTACCCTGGTGGGGGTCCTCACCATCCTACTCCTCTTCATGTCTGCCTTCGTTAACATGGTAGGGATGACAATTCTCCAAATAGTGCCTGCAATTGCAGTACGAAAATGTATGCACTCACTACTGTAAGTCACTCTGGATAAGAGCGTCTGCTAACTGACTAACACGTGTATGTGAATGTAGCAGTTCAGTTTTCCATCTGTTCAGTGGGCTTCTCTGTTGGTTGACGTATGATTTAGGACTGTGTGTCTCTCTCTAGTTGACCTGTGACAGAGAGGGACTGGTGGACTGTGTGGGGCGCGAGAGGAACCTGTCCTCCAGCCTGGTGACTCTGTGTCTACTACACAACCTGACCCAGTCAGCACAGGACGGACTGACCCTGTGCCCCAGCCAGCCCACACCATGCCACTTCCCTGAGGTGAGACCAGCTGGGACGCTACTGTGTGTGTGTGGGGGGGGGGGGGGGGGGGGGGGGGGGATACTGTCTGTGTTTAATAACATTGTTATAACTTGCTACGCTCCCTCCCCCCCCCAGTATTTCTGCTACAGTGTTCTCCTGACCCTGCTGGCCTGCAGTGTGTTCCTCCACATCAGCAGTATAGGGAAGCTGGCCCTCATGGTGCTGATCCTGGTCACCTTCCTGCTGCTGGTGGAGTGGCCCCAGGTGGCCCTGTTTGACAACGCAGACCTGCTGCTCACCGCCAACACCCTGTGAGTTAACACACACACCACACCACACACACACACGCTGTGTATTTGTTCAAGTAGTACTTGTTTTCGTTCAAATACTTAAGCTGTGCAAAGCACAAAGGTCTTGTCAAGTGTTGAAAGTATTTAATACATTTGTGTTTAATTTTTTCCCTTGGATTCCTAGGTTCAATGAAACAGCTACAAAGACATGGTAAGTTCTTTGCTGTCTTATAGTGTTAATGTTCTGTTACCATGTCCATGTTAGTGTGTGTCTGGTCCTAGACTGAGTCCATCCTCCTCCTGTCTCCTCTCAGATCAATGTTCTGTTACCATGTCCATGTTAGTGTGTCTGGTCCTAGACTGAGTCCATCCTCCTCCTGTCTCCTCTCAGCTCAATGTTCTGTTACCATGTCCATGTTAGTGTGTGTCTGGTCCTAGACTGAGTCCATCCTCCTCCTGTCTCCTCTCAGATCAATGTTCTGTTACCATGTCCATGTTAGTGTGTCTGGTCCTAGACTGAGTCCATCCTCCTCCTGTCTCCTCTCAGCCAGGAGTGTGATTGATTGATTGATTTATTGTTTGATTTGTTGAGTGATTGGTTGGTTGATTGATTGTGGTCCTGTCTCCCCCCTCCAGCCAGGAGAGTGTGACCAAGGTGTCCCTAAAGGTCATGACCCCTGTCATCCTTACGGTGTTCGTCCTGGCTCTGTACCTGCATGCTCAGCAGGTGGAGTCCATCGCACGCCTCGACTTCCTGTGGAAGCTGCAGGTAGGATCGGCCACACACACACTTGTCCAGCAGGTGGAGTCCACCGCACGCCTCGTCTGTTGGATCTGGTGACATCACTAAGATATCTCCGTCAGCAGAGCTCAGCCTTTCTCAATTTATCAAACAGTTGCGGCAGAGTGACGTTACTGGTCGAACATCAGTGGAATACCAATCAGCGTTCGGAGTTCCTCTCAATACCTATAGATAGACAGACAGCGATGTGGTTGACCTATGAATCATTCTGTCACGTTCTCATCCCTTTTAACAAACCGTTTCCCCTCTCCCCATTCCCCTGTGTCTGTCCCCTCCAGGCCACAGAGGAGAAAGAGGAGATGGAGGAGCTTCGGGGCTACAACCGCCGCCTCCTCCACAACATCCTGCCTAAAGACGTGGCCGCCCACTTCCTGACGCGGGAGCGGCGCAACGACGAACTCTACTACCAGTCCTGTGAGTGTGTGGCCGTCATGTTCGCCTCCATCTCCAACTTCTCTGAGTTCTATGTGGAGCTGGAGGCCAACAACGAGGGAGTGGAGTGTCTTCGGCTGCTCAACGAGATCATCGCTGACTTTGACGAGGTTTGTTTGTCTGTTTGTACTTATTTTAATCTTCCAAGAGTCCATGAGGGAGGAGGGAGGGGAGGATCCAGATTCAAATGAAGATCCTACATCTGTTCCTCCCTCTCCCCCCAGATCATCAGTGAGGACAAGTTCCGCCAGCTGGAAAAGATAAAGACCATCGGTAGCACTTACATGGCAGCCTCTGGCCTCAACGACTCTACCTACGACCGTGAGGGACGATCGCACATCCTGGCTCTGGCAGACTACGCTATGAGACTCAAAGAACAGATGAAGTACATCAACGAACACTCCTTCAATAACTTCCAGATGAAGATAGGTGAGTCCCTGGACCGATAGCAGAGATAGGGTTGGATGGTAGTAGTAGTGGTATTAGTAGGAGTAGCCATGAGACAGAGAACAGATTAAGTACATTAACGAACACTCCTTCAATAACTTCCACATTTGTGGCGAAGTGTCCCTTTGTAAAGACTACACACTGAGAATCTGGATCAATCCTGGTCTTGGAGGGCGACAGTAGTCAATCATTAGTTGAGGTGTGTTAGTGATAGGCTGGAACAAAAGCCTGCGGCTGTTGCAGCGCTCTAGGACAACATTGGGAAGCCCTAGCCCTTGATCATGACTCTCAGTTCCATTACATTACACATAAGAGTCATTGGACGAAGGTGTCTTCTGTACGGGGGGAGTTTTGTTAAGAACATTAACGCTCGGTTTGAACATTAACATGCATTTCTTGCAGTACGGTTTTGGAAGCATAAAGACCTTATCTTTCATATCAGCAAGATTTTATTTATTTTTTTCAAAAGGTTAAATTGATACACTCCATATTTCCATGTTACAGCGCTTGTTTACAGAAAACAGACAGGAGACAGAGTGGACTACCTGTGCTAATTAGCTATCTGCGTCTCCCAACCCCTGGGTGTAAACGAAAGACAGACGCCACAAAAGTGTTGTCACTGAGAAATACTGTCGGCTGTAGCTGTGTTAAAACAGTGGACAGTAAGTGTGTATTTTGCATTTGTGAAATTATTTTGATGTGATATGAAAGTAGAGGGCTTTGTGTTTCTAAAACCGTACTGCAATTAAGAATCGATTCATGTTTAGATGGAGTATTTGGCTGTTTTGGCTTCCAGAGCCAATTGGCCTCTAAACAGAACATGTAAGGTCCTTGGACTATAAGAAGTAACGTGAGGCTCCATTATTGGGCTAGGGAAGCCCCTGGATTAGTTAAGAGGTAGGTAGAGTGAAGTGGTGTGATGCAGGCAGGTTGACTGTGGTCTCCTCATGCAGGTCTCAACATGGGTCCGGTGGTGGCTGGGGTGATCGGGGCCAGGAAACCCCAGTATGATATCTGGGGGAACACTGTCAACGTGGCCAGTCGTATGGACAGCACCGGAGTGCCAGACTGCATACAGGTACACACACCTACTTTGCCTAATTTAAGACGTTCTGTACACACCTTTGATATATACGGTACACTGTATGTTAGATATGTCATTGTGAGTCCTACAGCTTTCACTTTTAATACTTATTTAAACACTATATTAATTGAATGGATGATAAACAGATGATGAGCTTAAACCCCTCTTTCCTCCATGACCAGTGCTGCCACCTGCTGTATATAAAACCCTACTGCAGCTCATGAGAAGGGCTTACCAAGAAAAACTTTCCAAAAGGACTAATTTGAGGCAGAAAGGAGTTGAGCACTCAACAAAAGAGGCAGAGATTGATTTATTTTAGCTCACTTTAATCCATTGTTCAGGATGAGTACAGGTGACTGGCGTTTTGACGTCAAGCTTGACGTCTTCCTCAAGAGTATTTTGCAAACATGAGTTATTACAAGGAAGGAACAATAGCTGTAACTAGATACCAAGTGTTCCACTTCAACTAGCTCTACACTTGCCATCATATACTCTTCCTTCCACCATGTAGTGCCTTGATCATTATAGAATAGAACAGAACACAATAGAATAGAACAGAACACAATAGAATAGCTGCTGTGTAGCTGTGGCTGACATTGTCTGTGTGTGTGGAGGCAGGGTGGAGTGTCTCTGTGTCAAATGACACACACACACATACATACACACACTTAAGTGTCCTTGTGTTGTCTTCTCCCAGGTGACCACAGACCTGTACCACGTCCTGGTAGACAAAGGCTACCATCTGGACCACAGAGGCCTGGTCAAGGTGAAGGGGAAGGGAGAGATGACCACATACTTCCTGACCAGCGGTCCCAATGGTCCCTAGGGCAGTTAACCACCGACGGTCATGGGATTACCGCTGGCTGCTAATACATGAAGAAGAGAGAGATGAGAGGGAGGGAAAGCGGGACAATGGGGGGAAGAAGAGAGAGAGGGGGAGAGTGAGATGAGACAGAGAGAGCAAGAGAGAGAGAAAGAAAAACAGCTAATGAACACTGGAACATAAAGAAGAAAACAGTTCAACTCCGTGATGGAAAGGTGTTTGTGTGTGACCATGTATTCTTCTGCACACAACTTTAGGGTTGAGTCTCAAATGCCACCCTATTGCCTATATAGGGGCCCAGGCCCTGGTCAAAATTAGTGCACTATATAGGGAATAGGGTGCCGTATGGAACGCAACCACGGAAGTTTGTTCTTACTTCAAGGCTTTTTCGACAAAGCTACTTGAAAGATATAATGAAATAATTATAATGAAGACCTGTTGCCTTAGAAGGAAATTACAGAACAAAAGGCTATATTTGTTTTGTTGTGAGCTACACTACAAGTAGTTCACATCCGGAGTCATTATTTATTTTTCACTGAAATGGATAGTTTTTTGTTGTCGTGACGACCTTGTAACATAAACAATATATGTATTATATGAAATATGCAAGGATAAGAAGATGAAAACGACCAAAGAACACGTTTGATTATGAGGGACTTACTCTACACACATCTACCAACTGAAATGACTGTAGAATGAACAGCTGAATTGACTGCAGAATGAACAACTGAAATGACTGCAGAACGAACAACTGAAATGACTGCAGAACGAACAACTGAAATGACTGCAGATCGAACAACTGAAATGACTGCAGAATGAACAACTGAAATGACTGCAGAACGAACAACTGAAATGACTGCAGAATGAACAACTGAAATGACTGCAGATCAAACAACTGAAATGACTGCAGATCGAACAACTGAAATTACTGCAGAATGAACAACTGATATGACTGCAGATTGAACAACTGAAATGACTGCAGAATGAACAACTGATATGACTGCAGATTGAACAACTGAAATGACTGCAGAATTAACAACTGAAATGATTGCAGATCGAACAACTGAAATGACTGCAGAATGAACAACTGAAATGACTGCAGAACAAACCACTGAATTGACTGCAGAACAGAACAACTGCAAACCTATGTTGTTTATTCATCTTTTTCCTTTCTTGACAACAAATGCCACGGAAACCAACGTAACTGTCTTTGATAGCAGCAAACACTTACAGCATATTGTTTTCAACTTGATATGCTTGATAATATGAAGGAGAGCTGAGAAATCTGTCTTTGGTTGTGCACGGCCAACAAAGAGAGAGGCCACACACACACACACACACACACACACACACACACACACACACACAGGGTTGGGTTACAGTTACTAGTTACCTGTCCAAAATTGTAATCAGTAACGTAACTTTTAGATTACCCAAACTCAGTAATGTAATCTGATTACTTATTTTCTTTTTTTCTTTTTTTACTTTTGGATTACTTTCCCTTTAAGAGGCGTTAGAAGAATACAAAAATGATCCATCAAACGCATTTGGTGTGTCATCATAGTGGTCTCTGACTTGTGGTCAGACTCACTCACTTTTTCAATGCTGAATTGAATGTCATTGAGAAAACAGAAAGGTGTCGAAATAAATGTTTTGCCAAACAGCCTTTCTGAATTTATAAGTAATCCAATAAATAATAATATTTTCTAAAGTATCTGTAATCTGATTACAATATTTTTTACTGGTAACGTAACTGATTACAGGTAGGTTATTTTGTAATCAGATTACATATAATTGATTACATGTAATCAGTTACTCCCTAACCCTGCACACAAACACACACACACACAGACACACAGAGCAGTCTTGGGTTGGATTTCTGTGTTCCTTTCAGGGCCTCTATTGTGTGCAGGCTAACAAACCCACAGAAGGTTGTTTTCTCTTTGCTAGGTATGATCAATAACTTTCTCTCTCTAGATGTATTTTTTGGTACAAGCCAAAACAGAAACTTTAGTGAAGGACAAACAAACAACTGCATTGGTACCATGGTACTGGAAAGATAGTTTTAACAGCTATGAGATGTTTTGTATGGAGTGTGTGTGTGTGTGTGTGTGTGTGTGTGTGTGTGTGTGTGTGTGTGTGTGTGTGTGTGTGTGTGTGTGTGTGTGTGTGTGTGTGTGTGTGTGTGTGAGAGGGTAACTGTATGTTGTTCTCAATCTTTAAAGGGGCATAACTTTTCACTGTGAGGTTTTTAAAGATACGGTATGACAAATGGATGCATCCCAAATGGCTCCCTATATAGTCTACTACTTTTGACCAGATCCCTATGGGCCCTGGTCAATAGAAGTGCACTACATAGGGAATAGGGTGCCATTGGGGACATAGCAATGCTTTCTTACCAAATTGATTGCATGTGTGTTGTTATTATATCTTATACTTTGGAGTTGTGTTCATTGCTGATTTTCATTTTTGTTGATTCATTTGTGTTTTTTAAATCACCTTTACTTCACGTATTTAATTAAAATTTTCTGTGATTATGATTGCAATTCCATTACAACCCTAAATGTATAAAAACCCTAATTGATTTTGGATTGTATAAAACAAATATGAACAGCAGGTTGTTCTCTACACTTAGTAGACCTGCGGTACAATGTTACAGGAGAATACACAAAAGTTATTATTTGTAAGTCCGCTAGCTGTTACCTTGAAATAAGGGTTACATCAATAGTAGTATCTGTACTACAAAGTATTTAACACTATCTGATAGTGTTGGTATCTGACTATTTGGCACATAGAGTATGTTCGCATGTCTGTAAGTTGGATAAAAGCGTCTGCTAAATGGCATATATTATTATACAGTATAATAGTATCTTTACCCCCAAAGGAGTACTGTATTTTGAAACTGTTATTTTATGAATGTACGTAAATCACAAAAGATATCGTGTGTCTACGGCGACACTACTACTACTCATTATTTTCGCAGTGCAAACATTATCTGCCTTGTATTGAAAGAAATGACCGGAAAACTAGTTTTAATGGTGCCATTGCAGGCTCCCAGGTCAGGACAGGGACGTGACCTGTTCTTTTACACCAACATGGCAAAAGGGTCGAGGGAGAGGAAGAGCTACTGCTGTGTTCTACTGTATGCCACACAGGGGAGGAGGTTATGTAGGACCTGCCATGGTGACTTGGGGGTCTCTGTCAATCTATCTTCTCCCTCAACCATTAGGAACAAAATAATAAGGAGTGGAACAGGCAGAGGTACCACCTGCACTCGTCCAATAAGAAACAGCTTGTTTTCCTTTTCCATTGCAAAACGTTTTATCTACTGTGTGCCCTAATGAACAGGAATGAGCCTGCCGATCCCCTGGGCAACCTGTGTGTAGGAGGGAATGGATTTCTGATTGATTGAAGTTGTTTCGTTCCCCCTTTTCTTTTGTATTTTTTCACATTAGTCTCTTGTTGTATTTGAGTTGAAAGGCCAACAAAATAATGTTTGTTTGTTTTTCCATTCAAAAAATAACACTATAGCAGAATTGAAGAAATGAAATGGTATTCTGGTTTGATTTCCCCTTGATACGAAATCAATAAATGGCTGTTTTGTATTATTGATTATTGTCATTCAGTTATTATTCTGTTATTATTCAATGTCTGCCCCTAATCAATGTACAATGTAAACCTATGTGTTTTGCTGCTGTTTCATTGCAATGCACATTTTAGTCAAATAATAAGTTAGCTAAGTTATTGGTAATGTCACGCTTACAATAATGGGTAACACTTTACCTTAAGTTTTATATTTTGGTCATTTAGCAGACGCTCTTATCCAGAGCGACTTACAGGAGCAATTGGGGTTAAGTGCCTTGCTCAAGGGCCCATCGACAGATTTTTCACCTAGTCGGCTCGGGGATTCGAACAAGCAACCTTTCGGTTACTGGCCCAATGCTCTTAATTACCACTATACCCATGTTAACTACACATTAATAATAACTGTAGTAACAACACCATAGTCACATAGGAATTTCTACGTAACTACATGGTTTTAGAATGGGAGTTAGCCTCGTTGCACCATCCTGATCCCGCCAGCTAACATTCCGTTTCGCTACACGGATTAAGTGAAACTAAACGAGAGCACAGTGGTCAGGATGATGGATTAGGATGCGGCTAGCAGGGTTGGGGTCAATTAATTTAAATTCCAGTCAATTCAGGAAGTACAATGAAAAGTCAAATTCCAATTCTCTTCAATGCTTGTCAATGAGGAACATTTGTAATTGTAATGAAGGTTTACTTTCTGAATTGAAATGAATTGACCCCAGCTCTGGACGCTAGACAGGAGTAGGCCTGAAGGGAAAGTGTAGACCAGGGGTGTCAAACTCATTTTAGCTCAGGGGCCACATGGAGGAAAATCTATTCCCAAGTAGGCCGGACCGGAAAAATCATGGTATATATAACTTAAAAACAACAACTTCAGATTGTTTTCTTTGTTTTAATACGATCAACATACAACATAAAGCTGGAGCCTGAGGACAGTGTGTCCAAAATAGTACAAGCACAACATCACTATTAATCATAAAACACGTCAAGTTTATTTGAAAATTCTAAAGAAAAAGAACACACAAACACACAATGCCTCAGTGATTAACAGAACTGTTTCACAGATCACAGAACTATATCAGGGTGTCATTTCTCAGGCAGAAATGTAGATAAAAATAATGAAATCCTGTTCCCCAAACAAGTGCAAGAACCACAGAGTCAAGAATAGGTTAAATATACAAATAAAATAAAATCAATTAAAAACAATAGCACATCAACATAAAAACATATAAACATAAAGCTGGAGCCTGAGGACAGTGTCCAAAAGCACAACATCACTATTAATCATAAAACACCTCAAGTTATTTGAAAGTTCTGAGGACAAAGAACACACAAACACACAATGCCTCAGTGATTCACAGAAGTATATCACAGATCACAGAACTATATAAGGGTGTCATTTCTCAGGCAGA